TTGCCAACTCTTATTGGTCTTGGACACGAACTCAATGGAAGCATGTCGTTTGGAGCGATGTAACAAAAATTATTTTAAAAGGTCTTGATGGGCGAAGATATATTCGCCGTCCAATCAACCAAGAATTTGATCCTCGCTATGTTTCGCGAATAGTGAACCATGGTGGAGGATATATTATGGTGTGGTAATGTTTTATTTGGCGTGCTGTTGATCCACTCCATAAGGTTGATGGAATTTTAAGCAAGTAGAAATACGTCGACATCCTAAAAAATGTCATGTTGTCATGGACTAAGGAAAATTTGTCTGTTATAAGGAAATTCCAACAAGACAACGATCCAAAGCATTAGATGATGTTGACACAAAAGTGTTTTGATGAATATTCCATCAAATATGTAGGAGTAGCCATACTATAGCCCAGACTTGAACATCTCTGGCGTGATGTTAAAAAGCCGTTAGTACCAAAAATATCCCAAATATTACTGTTCCTTTTGGTAAAATAAGGACGGCATGGCAAGCAATATCGGCGGTGTGCTGCCAGAGTCTTATAACGTCAACTCGCAGTAGATGTAAGGGCATATTAAAGTATTAGGGTTAAGCAATAAAATACTGACTGAAAGCAAGCAAATTTTTGTAATATGATTATTTTTTGCTTATAAAATATTTTCGTTTCTATTTTTGTTAAAATTTATATTAAAAAACGACTTTAATATACTTTTTTCTACTATAGTTTAAGTTTAACATACGTTTCAATAAAATTAGTGAAGAAAGCAGTAAAAAATACGAAGTTTTTTGGAAAATAACTTTTTATTACTTCAAAATAAGTGGCGTTTATGATTAACTGTCAGCAGCTGTATAGACTTATGTATGGATAATATTTAAGACCTAAAATGATTTTGACATAAATCAAGCAATATAATAATATGGATATTAAGAAGTTATATTCTAGGCTCAATGATATTTACTATAAATTTATATAAAACAAAGTATAAAAGATAAAAAAGTTTATAAAATATTTTTAAGATCGCTGAAAGCGCCATCTGCCACTAAATGGGAACATGCATGCATATATTATAAAACGTGTAACCAACGAACTTATAAGAGCCATTGTAAATTTAGACATACTGAGTTAAAGTTGTGATTTGTGGAAAAAATTAGAAATATGAAGAAAATCTGTCTGATATTTAAGAAATTTTTAAAATGGTGTGGGAACTTAAGACATTTAAAGAGGTATATGTAAGCCTTTTTGAGAAGCAAATTGTAAAGCTCTGGAAAAAAAAAATTTCAGAAAGAGTTGTCAATTCTGCTAAATGTTAGAAAATGTGCAGCGCATGCGTAAATTGAAACATATTTTTTGTTAGAGTTGGGAATTGTGATAAATATTTATATATTACAAATATTATTGTGCATATGAGCTGGTTTAGAGAGAATTGTTGTACTTGTGCGCAATAGAAAAATAACCTATATATTAAAGAAAATTATTATTGTATGTCTAAAAACATAAAACACAAAATACTGATTTCTTCAAATTAATATAAATCGGATGCTGGAAATTTATAAAATTATATTTATTATCGTCTTTACTTTGAAAGCTTGCAAAATTTATTACGGAGATGGAAAATTGGAAAAAAGAGTGTCAAAAAAAAAAAAGAAATAGGCGCTTTCAGCTTTCTAAATAGAGACAGGACAGCACTAATAACCAGCTGGTAAACAAACTATGCTCAACTTGATTTAGGCGCGCTTAAAATCATTAAATAAACCATTTGGAGGAAGAAATCTTACATTATTTTCCTTTATAATATCAAATTATACGAAGAAGAATGAATACTCCACACAAAATACCGTTATATTGCCATGACCACAACACGTGTAGCGTGTGCTTTATTGCCGGCAAAAGATAAAAAAGTAAGAACTGGCCATTAAGTCACACTTACTATGTAATGATCAGAACCATGACAAGCAAATGACCACGAAACTCAAGACACTTTGGGCAAAAATAAGAAAAAATAAAATACATTAACAACAGAGCAATGACACGAGCACAGAAACGGAAGAGAACACATATAGGGAAATGTCCTTGCATATATCTTCATATATCTTGTTTTGTTGGTGTTCAAAAGTAGGTATGTATGTGTGTATTTATGAGAAGTGACAAGCGGCAATAAATCTTGCGAGCAACACAATAAGAGTGAGTAACTGCGCGTAAATTGAACTTGCAATTGAGGTTAGGGACGTTGGCTGGAAAAATAGAGATAAATAAACAGAGCCGAGCGATGGACTGAGCAACAGCAAGAACCGAAAAGCGATACAGAAAATAGAAAAAAACATTAAAATAAGTAGAATAAAGCGGAAAAAACCGGAACTGGTCTGAGTAGTGGGTGTGAGAAGGAAGACAAACAAAGAAAGCTGTGAGCTAAAAGCATTAAAGTCAACTAACTATTAACCCAAAAACAAACCTAAAAAAAAAATAACTGTTTGCCAGATATAATGGAGTAACAGGGATAAGCGGCGGCCTCAACACAACAAGTATGAATTATGAGACACAACTATAGCTCTTAGGCGCGTGCAACACAAAGGACTTTCTGAGAGTTTTAAGATATATTTCCATCATTTGATATGTGGTATGGCAACACATAATATAAATACACAAATGTATAAGAAAGAAAACTTTTGATGCAAAAAATCGTACGGTAAAAAAAACAAAAACAATCTGGAAAAAGGAAAGCTTTCAACTCGAGTCCACTTACACTTCCTGGCATCATCCAACTTTTTTGTTGTTGCTTTTCGAAGCCACATTGTTTGAGTGCGATTGTATTTGATGGCTTTGGCATAGTTGCTGTTATTTATTACCATCAAAGTGAAGTATACGCACAGGCGCTTAAGCATATGGGCAGTCAAATCGCTGGTACTTTATGCCACAGCTGCTACAAACGACACACACGTGCTCGTACTACAGCAAAGACAGCGCGTTTAAGTTGAAATCCTTGCCAAACTTTTGCCTTAAATATGTTTTCATTAATGTCGAGTGAGTGAATTGCGCTTCTGATTGACTGGCTGAGTGACTCGGCGTCGCTTGAGCGCGTGGAAAGTTTCCGAATTTTTTTCCACATACTTTTTCTTAGTTCGCAACTTAAGAGTGTGCTGAGATAACGATTTTTCTTATTTTTGTCTTTTTTGTGTGCAATTTTTCCCAACTTCGCTTGCAACAAAATTATCGCTTAATTTCGCTGGTAATCCCATATTTTCATTTTGCTCATTTGTTGCTCTTGTCAAATATATATTTATATTTTATATTTCTCTTTGCTCTGTAATCTGTCATTTTGACTTTGTGAAAAGTTGTAAACCTCAAATTGTCACTTGATTGTCCATTTGTCTGCGTTGCAATTTGTTAGCGAAATTTGTCGCTTATTGACAATCAATTTAATGTTTCATTGCGGATAAATGTAATGAAGTGAGTTGACATAATTTCGGAATTCGCTGAAATTATAATTTAAATTTGTTCGAAAGTTTTATTATTTATACTTTTTTATAAAATAAAAATAAAAAGAAAATTTTAGTAAATAAATATTAAAAAAAAAGTATATAAAAAAACGCTATATAAGAAAACCGTGCTTTAAAGTCTTTTTCTTATGATACATATAATTTTAGGTAAAAATTTTGAAAAAGCACCAGCTACATCACTTTTTTGACCCCCTGAAAACGTCTTTTGAGTATCAAACATGAGTATCAAATATGGGTGAAATCGGTTCGCAACCACGCCTGAAATCTCGATTATTACTTTATCATGCGAGAGTATAAAATGTTCTGTGACACCCGAACTTAGCCCTTCCTCACTTGTTTCTTTCTATATTGGCACACAATAATTTTCCACATAATCATTTACCATAATTTGAAATATTTAATATATATAGATATAATAAAATAACGTTTTACAAAAAACTAGTTAAAATTAAATTTAAAAAAAAAATACTTAAACCATTACAAGTGTTTTGTTTTGCTCCACCAGATATTAAGTAAGTGGCATCCGTGCTTGTAACAACTCAAAGCACCTTGGTCATACACGCATTCAAAGTACGAAAAATCAACGAAAGCAAGTAAAGCCAGCTAGCATTGGGTTTGAATCTTTAGTCTAGTGGAATCAACAGTCCGTACTTCTTTCGAAATGAAGCTGATGACAACGTAACTGCCAATGGAGAGCTTTGTAGATCGATGTTAACCACATTTTAATGGCCGCAATTGGAAGATGTAGACCTTGGCAACATTTGGTCTCGACAAGATAAGGCTACGTGATACACAGCACTTGGAAATTTGTTTGAAGTTTGAAAATTTGATTATTTCAAGCAGTTGAGATTTAACTCTCGAAAATTTGGTTCATCGAAATTCATTCATATACACGGGCTATTTCTCTACCAGTCTCTATGAAAAAGTATTAAATTGTTTCGATCTTAAAAACAAAAGTAGAATTTGTGACAATTTCGTACCATTTCAGAAAACTATATTGGTTTGTCTTGTTATGAGTGGTAGGAGGGAGAGACTTTGCTTATAACTACTATGAAAGTTTGATAGTTCATCTCATTATTATAATGTTGTGAGTTACAATGCTCTTACAAATCATAAGTAGGCTAAGTTATTTCCTTGCAATTCAATCAGTTCAACTATTAGTTATCAATTCTCAACAAGCTTATGAAGAGCGGTTACCCTTAGAAATTCTCCGTTGGTAATGCCATGTTCTGGTTTATAACCCAAAATAAATTAATTTTAGCAAATAGTAGTTGGAATTTTTGCTCTAATTTACTTTTATCTAATTTTTTCACTAACTTGTAAAGCTACCAGCGAGTGAGTAATAAAAGTAGAAAGTTCAAATACTCAACCAATTTTTATGCTCCAATTATTTTTATTCCAATTTACAATTTATCCTTGCAAACAAGACGGCTGTGCACGAAAAATAAATTATTCTTAATTATTTCACTGCAATAAAGTGCTTTCATATTCTTTATTTACAGCACTCATAACTGAAGACAGTGCAACGCGAAACCTAAACCCCTCCAGCAATACAGTGCAAAAACAAAGGTAGGTGCGCCCATATAAACTAAAAGTCTTTATTATTATGATTATTACTTTAAATTACAAATTACACTTAATTACATTATGCTCCAATTTTTCGGCATTATTTCACACATAAATAAAACACAAAGCGAAGAAGTCAAATAATTAATTGAAATGAGGAAAGCAGAAAAGGAAGTGAAGGAGTCGGACAGTCAGTCCGGTCGCAAAGTGAGTGAGAGAGCAAATGAGTGTGAGTAAGAGAAATCATGCTCAGCACTAATTGCAGGCAATTAATGTGCAACACTTCAAAGCAGAACACTGCAGGCTATTATAAAATACTGAATGTATTTAGCTATATATGAGTGAATGTGTATATTTATGTGCGAGACAATTTACAGATGTTTGGCAGCCAACACTGACCAGCCAAATAACTGGTTAAGTTCATTATGCTCTTGGCTGGCACTCCAAATGGTTGGCTAGCTACTACCTTTACATGATACCACTTAGTTAGTGGGAGGTCAAAGGTTGCAGGACAATATATCTGTATGTCTGTGGCTGCCTCAGGCGCACTAGCGCTGTAGCGAACTGGTCGTTGAACTGCTGCGTGGTTGACGGATGCTTATGCCCAGTTCTCTGTGGTGCAAAAGGATATAACAGTAACAAGGTCGCCTGCTTTAGTTGACAGTTAAGTTAGTATGGTGTTGTTGTCAGTGAATGGTATTTGCAAATGCTACAAATGAAATTGCAGCTAACTCATTTTGCTATAAAGGGATTTTATTGCGGTTATATTTTAGCTTCCGCCGCCAAACCCTGCTAGCGCTTAGCAAAATAATTTCTGGTGTTCTCTAAGTGCAGGGGGGCTAACGCTATTGCTTTGTAAACCCATTTCACCCTCACCACAGTGTTGGAAAATTTGCTGCGGCTAACCACACCTTTAACCCTTTTGCAATTGTTTTTCCACGGCGATTGCTGTTGTTGTTTTGTTTATAATTTACAACAACAAATTCAAGTGTTGTACATATACTGTAGTCTACTCTGTGCTAAAACCAACGTTGCTTTAAGCAAGTAAGCATTTATTATTTGAAATTCAAACCAATATATAGGGTGTTTCAGTTGTTATTTGTACTGGAAACCCTACATTTACCTACAAACATAACTGTGAATAAGTTGAAATGTGAACTTCGCTTGCATCGAAGTTATATTACGCTTCATTTGGGTATTTCTTACAGCATAAAAATATATTGAAAAATCTTCATTTTGATTTTGATCGGCTATATCCTTTAGTAGTGCGATCAGAAAAGTTTGTTGGGAGATTCATGCCAAATGTCGTGCATATATCTCGCCAAATAAAAAATTTTTTCATCCGAGCGTGGCAGCTATATGCTACACTGGTTCGATAACAGCGGTTCCGACAAATGAGAAGCTTCTTGTGAAGAAAAGCACTGCAAAATTTCCGATATCTTAAAAACTGTGGAACTAATTCGCATATATGTATATGGAAACTCAGCTCGTAACTACCACATTCTTTATAGGATCGCTGATGTTTCACCCTGCTCAGGACATAACAAACAACAACGTATTGGTACTCAATATAGCTCTAAATAACTAGTTTTCTAGCACAAATGCAATCAAGGTAACTCATATTACAAATTACAATAACAATTACTAACACTAAAATCAATACATACATTTTGTTGGCCATTAGCATTAAATAGTAATAGTTAAAAAGCATCGGAAATTGTGTGGACGACAAGCTGTACATAGAAGAACATATATACAGTGACACCTATAAGCATATATCTATACATGTTTATATGTATGAACATATATATACACATTTACACACCCCAAGCTCCACATATAACCACTCCATATTTACACCCGTCTATTTGCTTCTTTCACTATTTGCTTCCATAGTTCTTGCTTTTCCTCCTGCTTTCCTCCTGCTTACGTGCCAAATATGTGCCGCTTCTATTTCTATTCATTTTACCCCCAAAGGTGTTTCGTTTCCAACCCTCATTCTATTAGCATTTCTACTTCGTATATTATTGCTGAATTATGACAAAGTGGTCAAAGCAATGACCTTAAAGTACGCCCAGCAAGCATTCGGAAAGAAAGCGTGTATAACGGTAAAGAATAAAATTAAACAAGTAAGGAAGGAATAAGTTCGGGTCTCGCGTTTCTAAAGAGAGTATTATAGTTTTGTTCACTTAACGGTTGTTTTTAAGTCCTAAATTTAAAAGAGTCAGATATAGGGTTATATATACCAAAGTGTTCAGGGTGACGAGTAGAGTTGAAATCCGGATGTCTGTGTGTCCGTCCGTCCGTCTGTCTGTCCGTCCGTCCGTGCAAGCTGCAACTTGAGTAAAAATTGAGATATCATGATGAAACTTGGTACACGTATTTCTTGGCTTCATAAGAGGGTTAAGTTCGAAGATGGGYAAAATCRGCCTACTGCCACGCCCACAAAATGGCGGAAACCAAAAACCTATAAAGTGTCATAACTAAGCCATAAATAAAGATGTTAAAGTGAAATTTGGCACAAAGGATCGCATTAGGGAGCGGCATATTTGGACGTAAAAAGTGGGCGTGGCCCCGCCCCTACTAACTTTTTTGTACATATTTCGAAAACTACTATAGCTATGTCAACCAAACTGTATAGAGTCGTTTCTTTTATTCATTTCCATATACAGTTCAAAAATAAAAAAAATCGGATAATAACCACGCCCACCTCCCATACAAAGGTTATGTTAAAAATCACTAAAAGTGCGTTAACCGACTAACAAAAAACGTCAGAAACACTAAATTTTACGGAAGAAATGGCAGAAGGAAGCTGCAAGCAGGCTTTTTTTAAAAATTGAAAATGGGCGTGGTGTCGCCTACTTATGGACCACAAACCATATCTCAGGACTCGACCGATTTCAATGAAATTCGGTATATAATATTTTCTTAACACCCTGATGACATGTACAAAATATAGGTGAAACCGGTTGACAATCACGCCTGAAATCTTGATTATCACTTTATCATGCGGGAGTATAAAATGTTCGGTGACACCGGAACTTAGCCCTTCCTTACTTTTTATATTTTAGTCGATTTTCAAATATCAAACTCAAAATCACTGAGAATACCATAATGCATTGCTCTTAACGGATAAACTTTTGCAAATGGATAATTCAAGGTTATAATAGCGATCCAACCAGAGATATAATATCCTACGAAGTGAGGAACATAAACTTTCTGCTTCTTTTTCGCATTTTTGAAATCAACTCTGCTAGAAACATCATAAATATGTATCATGTTTGAATGAGTTTAGCTCCCTCAGTTTTGGGTCTCAATACACCTCAGAAACGTAATTTATTTAGTTGTCACTATACCCTGAGTGTAAAAAAAACATACGAATCATTCAAAAAAGTAATATATCTTCTAAATTTGTTCGCATGAGCACGAGTATTTGAGCCTTCGATGGATCTTGCGATATTATTTTCATATAACTGACTCCAAATCTACCTTTTCGAAATAGTTTTTTGAACTCTTTCAATTAATCATATACATAATTTTGTTTAGTGATATATTTTCAAATAACATAGTACTTTTGTTTTTTCTACGTGAGGTAATGCAATTGCTGAAATTTACTCAGATGAAATGAATCTCACTATATCATGATTTTGCTCTGTACCATGTTTCAAAGATGGATCACTACCTATGCCTAACAGCATTCGTTACATTTCAAAGATCGCGGTATGGCTCCACAAACTTTCTTTCGTTATAAGTACATCAATTGTTACAATTGGCCATTCCTTGAGGTAAATTATGTCAATATATGGGTAAATATAAGTAGAAATCATTATAATTCTCATATCTGTGTTAAAGATTTGCTCTTTCATGGTCTTGGGATGTTTATAAATTCTGCACCGAAATGAAGTTATTTATACTCGTTCCATTTTTTACAAACAAACCGACCTAAATATTCAAGAAAATTAATCTCACAAAATCTGTTTCTGTCAAATCAACTTATTTCAGAATCAGTGAAAAAGTTCAATACTCCCAGAGCTGACATTATTAATCTTATCTTTTGGAACCTCAGTATTTTTGTTATAAAAATTTTACGAAATAGTACTAATTTTGGTTTCAAGGAATTATTTGAATAAGTCTTACTCTTTTTGTAAAACCTTTTAGTTTCCAAATTGATATTATTGATATATTCTCTTTAGAAAGTTCAATGGAGACAGTATTTAGAAAAGAGTTTCGGAAATCAGTAGAGACTTTTTAATATGAGTTCTGAACTAAGCTAGAAGTACATATATCCGGTAACATTGATAGAGATAAGAATAACATTTTTTTACTTATCTACTATTTTCTTAAGAAAAAGTGTCAAATATGGTATAATCTGTAAACTAATGACATTGTGACTATCTAAAATGCTAAAAACTTTCAGCCATTCATGAGACTTTTCTGAAAACGCAACACGAAATCAGCAGCTAGTATAGCTTGACCAACGATAAAACTCGACCACATTCCTCTGGCTAATTCCCAATGACTAGTGGCCTATAAAATTTGTAACAAAATTTATTGTCGCTCATAGAAATCTAAAATTTTACATTCCATACACGCATACATACATACAAGCATATGCTCATGCAAATAACCACTCACTGATATATTGGACATACAAATCCGAGAATTATGACCATGTATCTACCGAAAAGTGTATCAAAACAATAAATTTCAAATGCCGGCAATGGCACACAAGTCAATGGAGTAAAATTGGCTAAAAATATAAGCAAGTTTAGCAGAGGCAAAAACAAAAACGAAAAGGAAAATCAAATACAGAAATAAACAACGTAACGACGAAGGCATACATAGAGAACACGCAAATATTTTCATTGCGCAGTCAACGAACGAAATCTGGTTAGCAGTAGATGTTTTTATCGTTGTTGTAGTTATGGTTATGGATACTCCCTTGCTGGATGGGAATTCAAAAATGTCTGGCAACACTGGCGCATAGCAGTTAAAGGAGGAAA